CTTATCGTGATTTTGCCATGACCTTAAACTTCTCCACCTCCTGAATCACTGATGTAGGCATCCACATTGCTGACCCAACCTCCTCGTTTTCCAACACAATTAAACATTGCCTCTTTTGACCCTTCAGCCCATTGACTTCTGTACTTTCTGTTTCATCATTCATCATGTCATCCCCACTCTTGTCACTTCTCAATCGCTTGGCAAAAGGAATTCGCTACTCTGCCCTAGCGATTCTCTCACCTGAGCCTACACCAGAGCAGACAGCTGAGCTCTGCTGGAGGAAATCACACAGGAGGGCCCAAGGGTATCTTATAAGTTCACACCACCAATCTCAAGTGGGTTGCCATGTTGCCTGATCATCAGGCCATTTCTCTGGTCATCTCAACCTTCCCACCTTCTGCAATGACTCTGTCCCACCTTCTCCACTCTCTTCAAAATCTCTCAGCTCTCCTTCCTTCACCCCCAGCCTCCTGTATGTCCCAGAGCAATAGAAAGTCATCATGAGGAAAGATTCAATGTCCCACACCAAACCTGCTGGCTCCTGTTACAATAGTGGAGTAGCCTCCTGCATGAGGTAAGCCTTTTCCATCCATACTCTGGTTCCATCCTCTCCCATGGTCATAGGAACCTTTATTGTCCACCGTCCTTTCACTGCTATACCTTCATCTTCCTCTTCTCTATAGGATCCTCCCCATCTCATTTAAACACACTCAAGTTATTCTATCCTAAACCCACTAACATAACAATCCACTCCATCTATTTCTCTCTGACCCTTCAACCTTTTCTGCTTGCATGAAGTAAGTGCCTTTCTTCATTTCTTCACCTCTCACTCACTCCTCAATCCACACCAGTCTCTCTCTGCCCTTCACTGTACCAGTCACTGCTCCATGAAAGTCCCAATGATACTGGGGCGCCTGGGTGGCTTAGTCGGTTAAGCGTCCGACTTTCGCTTAGGTCATGATCTCGCGGTTCATGGGTTCGAGCCCCACGTCGGGCTCTGTGCTGACTGCCAGCTCAGAGCCTGGAGCCTGTTTCGGTCTGTGACTCCCTCTCTCTCTGACCCTCCCCTGCTCATGCTGTCTCTCTCTCTCCTAGAAATAAATAAAAAACTTAAAAGAAAATTAAAAAAAAAAAAAAAAGAAAGTCCCAATGATACTAAGGCCAGTCAATCCAGTGGATATTATTTAGTCCTCATTTCCCTTGGGTCTGTCAGCCATTTGGAGTGCTATTGACTACTGCCTCCTTATAACATGTTCTTTCCCTGAGCTCTGGGACCCCACCTCCCCAAGCTCCTAGTTTTCTTCCTGCTTATCTGGCTGCTCTTCCACTGTTTGCAGGATAGTTCACCTATGTCCAGCTGGAAAAAAATTTTTTTTGATGTTTATTTATTTTTGAGAGAGAGAGAGCATGAGAGCTTGAGTGTGCAAGTGGGGGAGGGGCAGAGAGAGAGAGGGAGACACAGAACCTGAAGCAGCCTCTAGGCTCTGAGCCATCAGCACAGAGCCCAACATGGGGCTCAAACTCATGAGCAAGATTATGACCTGAGCCAAAGTTAGATGCTTAACTGACTGAGCCACCAACACGCCCCTGTCCAGCTTTTAGATAAGAGTTCCTCAGGGCTTAGTCCTTGGCCTTCTTCTGGACAAACTCTGTATTCTCTTAGGAGACCACCTCATTCTCCTGGCTTTGTTATTACTTCTACACTTACTACTTCAGCTCCAGCCTCTCCTCAGAACACCAGATCCCACAACCAACCACCTACTCAACATCTCTCCTTGGACATCTCACAGGCACCTCAGACCCACTTTGACCAAATGTGAATGTTGGGAAGGTTTTCTCAATCCTCTTCTCTGAAGACCCCCCAACTAAGGATATAGCACCACTGTCCATCTGGTTGAAGAAGCAGAGAACTGGGAGTTTTCTGAGTCCTCCCTAGTTAAGCAATCACCATGTTTTGTTGCTATCTTCTCTCCATTTGCTTTACTGCTTAGATAAACAGCCCCTTTCATTTGTATTTTGGCAACAGCCTCCTAATTGTCCCTCAACCCCTCTCTCCCTCTTCCCTATTCCTTCTTCACACTGTGGTCAGAGTGATCTTACTGAAAATGATATTCTAGACCCTATAAAATCAAGCCCCTGCCTACCTCTCCAACTTCTCTCTCAACCACATCCCCTTTGTAGTCTAAACCAGCCAGGAACTCTGTTCCACTCTCCTCTTTGCCTGCTCACCCTTCAGTGCTCAACTCAAATGTCACCTCTTCTTGGACTCCTTAAATGGTCCCATCACCTTGTACTTCCTTTGGCCCATATCAAATTGCAGTTATATAATTGATAGTGCATTTGATTGTGTTTTTTTAAAAATGTTTACTCATTTAGTTTGAGAGAAAGCGGGCTGGTGAGTGGGGGAGAGGGACAGAGAGAAAAGGAGGCAGGGAATCCCAAGCGAGATCCACACTGTTAGCAGAGAGTCCAATGTGGGGCTGGAACTCACAGTGAGGTCATGATATGAGCTGAAATCAAATGCCAGATGCTTAACCGACTGAGCCACCCAGGCACCCCAATAATGTACTTCATTGTTAAACTTTCTCTCTCCAGCTCTCTGTGAGCTCCTAGAGAGAAGTGTTTGTCTGCCACGTTCACCACTCCAGTGTTTGGCACTGTGCACTGTGCCATGCACCTAGTAGGTGGCCAACACATATTTGTTAAATAAATAAATAATACAGCTTTACCTATGAATGATGGACCCGGGACCCAACGCAAGAGTGAGGACTACCACCAAGTGGGTGTGGAACTTAGCATTGAGTAATTCTCCCCAAGGAACAATGTTAACTGTTACAGATATACTCCCAGCTGCATTAATTAATGGCAGGATGGAGAGAATGCCCTTATTTTTAAATTTCAGGGTCTGGGCAGCTGCAAAGGACACAAGCTTAATTTCTTTGTTGGTTCCCAACTGACACTGTAGCAGTTCCTTTACTAAAAACTTCCTGGCAGGCAATCCCTGAAACTATGTCTGTGGCTACTGGTTTCATTTACAGAGAAGATACATGTGCTAAGAAGCAATATATCAATATGATGGCCCAGAAAAATCTTCAGATGTCAGTCTGGTCCCATCACAGCAGTTAATCAGAAAGGCAGCATAGAGATCTTATTTAGACCAAGGAACATGGACTCAGGATTAATTATTTTGATGCAGAATGAAAGACATAGGCTTTGCCTATTAATTTATACTTTCTGTAGCATTCTTAAAGAATTTAACATTTAACATTTCATAAAAATGTTTTTATTAGCTTTCTAAATTAAAAGAGTTAATACAACTGGAAAAGTACAAAGCTCAAAATCAGTAACGGTACAAAATTCATCCCCCTTCTTCCCACACTCCAGTCCTACACTTGGGGTAACGGTGGTAAGCAGTCGGTGTGCATCCTTCTAGTTTTTCTATGAATACACGAAAATCTGTTTGTGGGACTTTTATGTCTCAGTCTTAGGAGAATCATATGATCAACATAAAAACAAAAAGGTCTGAAGGCTGAAAATCAAAACTTTCCCAGATTTGGCTCTGAATTCCTGCTTCTAGAAGAGTGCACCCACGTGGCTCCGCGCATCCAGCAGCAAAGTGTTCTTTTGCTCTGAGCTTGGATAAGAGTGAGGGCCCACAGTGAAGTGGGCTGAGCTCACGGTGCCTGAATTCCTACATTTGCAATTCTATCCCCTTCGGCTAATTCCGCCTCAGAAAGCCTTCTGAAAAATGCAAATATTTGAGGGTGTAGTGTCCTTAATTGTTCAGTCTGGCTCTGTAAAGATCTTTTTCTTCCCCCAGAGATAAGGAGCAAGAGAGGGAGGTGCTCTCAAGTGCGCCTCCCGCCAGGTTTGCCTCTTGGCGGAGTACGTGCACGGCGAGCTGGCTGTGCTGGGCATTCCAGACCTGGGCGACCTCCCCATCCGGTCCCGCAGGGCTTTCCTGGGGTCCCCTAAAGTTGCGTCCACTGCGGCTGGGACCCACCTTAAAATGCACTGCTCTGGCGAGCCAGCGGGGGCGCAGGGCTGAGAGGGTACGTCTACGGTTCCTGGTGTTACCGCCCGTGTTTGCTGTAGGCGCCAAATCCTCACCCCGCAGCGGGGAGCCGGAGGTGTGCACGTCAGAGTTCAGCCATTTGGGCTGTTCCCAGGTGTCCTTTGGGCCGCGGTGCGAGTTGGAGAGATAGCGCCTGGACACCTTTTTTCTGGCTTTCAAGACGCGCGTGGAACCTCGAGGAAATTCTCTGCAAGACACCGCAAGGAGAACTAAAACTTCCCCCTCACCGATTAGTAGGCGGCCTCACAAATCCTAAGATCCGGCGACAAGGCCACGTAGGGCACCACTGTAGGCCTTGGGCTCTAGGGAGTCATTTGGGTATCTGAGAGGTGGCGGTGGGTAATGACCACGTGGGCAGAGAGCAATGGTCAAGTCCCATTCTGGCCCTGGTTCCCCCTTCCTCAGAGGAACCCCGGGTTTTGCGGAGGCGCACGCACCCAAACACCTGAACTAAGGCGGTGGTTCTGTCTAGGCCCAGTTACAAACTTGTTCTGGCCATTAAAGGTCACCGGAGTCCTCCCCAGGCCATGTGCTTAGTCCCCCAACGTCAGACGTACCGCAAGAGGGACGACCTGCAGTTGGAGAGATTTAAGTTAGACCAGGTTTGGAATATGGTCCAACTGCCGTGTTTTTCCGAGGGGGTTTACATCCTGGGGTCCCCTTCCCCCAGCTTAACCGTTTACTGCCCACGTGTACCCCTGGTGACCCCAGAGGGTCCCTGGAAGCGAAGAGAAGCACGAGACTCGGCGAATCTTGGGTGCCAACTCTCAGACAGGCTGGTGCCCGGCCTTCCCCAAACTTGGGGCGCCGGGCGGCGGGCCGGGCAGGGCGGTGACGTGAGGGGCGGTGCCGGGCCTGATTGGCGCGTGGGGCGGGGCGAAGGCGGGGCCTGATCGGGGAGCCCAGAGGCGGCGGCGACGCCTGAAGCCGGAGCCGGGAGTGAGAGGCGCGGTGGCAGAGGCGGCAACAAGTGCCGGAGACAAGCCGTGCCGGTGACTTCCCCGCCGCCGACACCACTGGGCCGCCCGTCGCGGTGCAACGCATGGAGCGTGAGCGGCGGCGGTCGCCGGGCTGAGCCGCGCGGAGCGGCCGGGACGTGGATGCGGCCGGGATCTCCGCCCCCGCCCCGCTGAGCAGGAGCTGCTCCCGGACAAGGTACGGCCGGGCGGGTGTGCCCCCTCTGTCCTTCCCTTCCCCCACCGCCTCCCCAAGCCCTCTCCGCTTCCTTTCTATCCCTGCTCTCCGCTCCCCACTGCTCCGTACTCACCCCTCTCCCCCCATCCAGATCCTCGCCGGTTCCTGCGTCGTCCCGTCACCCCAGAGGAGGAAACCATTCCTGGGTGGCTCCCGCCGCATTTAGACGTCCCTCGTTCCCTCCACCTTCCTTACCTTAGAGGAGGAGGGTAACAAAACCAGCAGCAGCGTGTCTTTTGAGACTCTTGCCCTATTCCACCCCCACCCCCACGGGGCCCGGGGACATCCCCCCTCCTCGCTGCACCCCAACTTCCGGGGGAGCCCGCGCGGGGTGATGCAGGCATTGCGAGGCGGCATGTGGGGCCCGAGTCCTCACCTGGCTTCCTCAGGCGCTTTGGATAGGGCTCTGTGCGTGATTTCGCTCTCGCACCCCTCACCCCACCCTCTCACTGCGCTGGTCTCGGGTGCAGCGTGGGGAGATCAGGTGTTTTGTGAGCGAAAGAGCCGCCAGCAGCCGCTCCCCACCCCCATCTGCCTGCCGCTGCCACCTCCGGGTCCCCAAGGGCTGGTTTCTGTGAAACTTAGGGAGAACCTTTGCTTTGACCTCTAAAAAAAATGTTCCACGCCGCCCGCGTTGAATGATTAACCAGGCTGCTTGCCTGTGACCTGGGGAGGGGGATGGGTGGGTGCTGCCGGGAGCGGGTAAGGCAGGCCTTTGCGAAACCCCTTGCTGGAAGGGTGGGCGTGGGGGCGCGGGGTGGGACCCCGCCGGGGCCGCGGGCTGGGGTCCTGGAGGCTGCCCCGGGACGGCAGGCGGACCCTTCTGGAATCAGTAAAACCAAGTCACCTTAATTTCCAGGCACTTAGGGTAGGGACGCCCCAGAACTCATTATCTCCCCACAAGTGTCACGGCGTGGAAGCATATCTCTGAAAATAATACATTTTAAATCTGGGCGAGGAGAGGAGGCTACCTCTCCTCAAAACGTAAAGATGGTATGTTTGTCTTTGCTTTCCTACCCCTCATGGTTTCGTGAACCTTCCCAACTTCGTAGAAAGATAGTTTAGGACAATTATACCATATTCTCCTGCCCCTCCCTGTTGGAGCGTTGATGTAGATTTCAGATTGCTAAACCAGTTGGTGGATATGGGTGTCTACTTGTTATAACAAATTCTTCCGGTGTATTTTGCCTCGGGAGGTGGCCAACAGAGTCAGGATTGGGACTAGGAAGGAGGGGGGACCCGAGCCGAGCCCAGTTGAAGGGCTCTGGAGCCCAGCTGTCTGCTGGTCGCGCCCATGCGGATCTGACAGCTGACCCCGGTGGGAGGACAGGGTTGGGCGGTCACTTCTTCCCACTGCCCTAGTTCTCACTTTTCCTTCGTTTGAATAGGAGTTATTAAGCCTGGTGGAATTTGGGAGAGTGTAACAGAGTCCCTGGGCTCTTAAATCAGATTTTAAGACTAGGCAAGTGCAGAACCCTATAGAACTCTCTAAAGTAAAGCTTTCCGCCCTGCCCAGCCTTTACCAATGCCTTTATCTTTGTCTCTAGTGTTTGAAATTAGAATGTTGAAACTTTTTTAGTTTGAAATATTGCTTTTCCCTTTGGCCATCCCAACAGCAGGGGCTCCCTGCTCTTCATTTAGTTTTTGTGTAGAGGACGTGTGTATGATGCAAGACCTAATTCTCCAGAACAGTTCAAGTTCCCACCCTTACTGTTCACTAGTCTTGATTCTGTGACATACTGTTCAAGTGACCTTGGGCAGGTTGTTGATCATCTCAGCCTTGTTTTCCATAGCTGTTTTTAGAGATGGTAACACCTCCTCTACAAGATTGTTTTTGAGGACAAATAGGATAATGTTTGCTGAAGTCCTGGCTCTGCATCATGGGAGTTAAGCACTTAATAAGTGGTGGTCATTGTGTAATCAATATAGAAGTTCCTCTAGGCATCAACTTCCCCTTACCAGACAGGGTAACTGGGAATCAACCATTCAGTTTTGTGTGACTGAAATCAGCCAAATTTGGCAGATGAAGTTTTATAAAGTCCAGGGAATGAAGTAATCTTTTGATGAAAATAAACGTATGCTTGTAAAAATTATGATTTTTTTCTGGGTTTCTGATGGATAGCTGAGTAATGGTTTGTACTTTTGGAGAGTTTCTTGTTAAAAAAAACCACAATTTAGATTTTTCTAATTCTAAGATACTACGGTTTTGCTAAAATAGGAAAATGGAACTGATCGTTCATGGTCAACTTTTAACTATACAATTTGTTCAAATGTGTGCCTTTTTTTTAGAGGTACATTGGGGGAAAAAGAAGTTACATTAGGAAATGAATAAGAATGTAAAAGAATGGATCATTCTGCTTTACATGATACATTGTTGGTATAAAGCTAAGATGTTCTGGACAGAAATGTGTTGGGCTTTTTCAGCTGATGACTGGAATAAGAGTAAAGATGAATCCATTGTTTCTTAGAGAAACTTTGAAATTTTAAGTTTTAATGTTTTCTGGTAATGTTATTTGGTTTGGTTTGGTTTGTTTCTTTTTAAACCATGATTTAGGGATCCTGACCAGGTGCTGCGAATGTGCCGAAGCATACTCCTTTTTTAACATACTGGGTCAGTGCTTTTAATTCTTTCTAACTTGCTTAATAGCCACAATATTTGACTTTACATAGTTTTTTTTTGACCGTTTATTGGACAGTTTATTAAAGAGTTTAAAAATTAATAAGTACCAATGGTTACTTTTATAAATGTCAAGATTCTTACACCTGAGATAATATTTAGTTATATAATCTCTTTCAACATGTCCATTCGTGGTATATAAAAGTGACCAATAATGAAAAATTCTCCTGAAGGCCTTTTGGTCTTATATGCAAATAATCAGAGAGAACTAAAATCATTTTAATCAATTGCCTGGCAATTTTAGTGTATACAGAACATTAAAATATGAATTAAACTGAGGTGTGACAGTTTGAAAGTTAGGTTTCCTGGCTGACACAATTGAAAGTTCCCATTAAGACCGCAGCACAGAGACCCAACAGGTACATAGATACAGCTGTCTCCTCTCCCGCCCCCCACTCCCCACTACGGGGGATAACTGTTACTAAGTGCTTACCAAAGATGCCTCCAAATTGTAGGATGAATAAATTCCTCTCTCTGGAGAGGCAATTACTGTTTGAATAAGATGTATATGTGTGTGGTATAAATAAGACTTTGAGAGAATTGATGTAATAATTTCATCATCACCTAGTGGTGATGAGACTTTGCTAGTCTGAACAGAACTTCAGTGGGAAGAACTTGTACTTAAATGGAGAATTTGTTATCAGGGCATATATGGTACAGTTACTTTACTGCTGGAAAAAGTTAATTGTACGGACCAGTTTTCTGTGTGTTAGAACCCTCAGCTGAGATTTTGCACTTACTGCGTGTTGCTCCTACTGTGAACTTTATGTTCTTTGCTCATCAGCTTTGCCTTCTTGCCTTTCTTAAGTTTTGTAACAAAATTCACATTTCTTCTGAGAGTTAGCATTCTTGATAAAGTTATATCATGTCTTGAAATATTTTGTATAATTTTAGCTTTAGGTATTTCCATAGACAACTTTGTTACAAATTATTTTCTGTGCATCTGTGAACATTCCCTTGTATTCTGATGTGGCTACAGAGGGGAAATTCCCAGTAGACAGGAAATTGGTACTTTCTACTTTTCATTCTGTGGCATTTAAAAGCACGTTTATTGTTCCAGTGTCTTCACTCTGATGTGATTAGGATGTACGTTGCTTACCAGAATATTTTAAAAAAAGAAAAGATTATCTGAGGAAATCAATTCTAGAGTGTGGCCAGGTTCTGTCAGAGTGGCTCTGTCGTGGTTTAGTGGTTAAGAGTATGAACTTAGTCAGATGAGGATTTTTAAAAACTGTTTTAACTTGAAAGATAACATACAGGAAAGTGTGAAGTGCCCTAAGACTGTGCAGCTCCTAAATGTGTGTCAACCACCTCGTTCAAAGAAGTAAATGTTTCCAATGCACCAGAAGGTGCCTGTGCCCCTTTTTGGTCCGTACCCACCTGCTAGAGGGAACCGTTATTCTAACTTTCTTATCCTCTTAGATGTGACTCCTCTCATAGAGACTGGTTTTGCCTGTTCTTGAACTTAATGTAAGTGGAATTGCAGAATCCTACAGTGTTGAGGTTTTTGTGAAACAGACCTGGTTTTGAGTTGCTTTTTTGCCACTGTGTGACTGTGGTTCTAGTGAGTAAGTTACTTAACCTCTCTGTGCATTTTTTTCATTTGTGAAATGGGGAAGATAAAGCTCTCTCGGACTTACTACAAAGATTCATGTGATCATACACTTAACGATATCTAGCACTGTGTTTGACATATGCTTTCCGTGTCCCCCTTTTATTTATTTAAAGAGGTGATAACTAAAGCAACTGTATCTTCCTCGTTTTAATATGCTGTTTCAGGGGCGCCTGGGTGGTTCAGTCAGTTAAGCGTCCAACTTCGGCTCAGGTCATGGTCTCATGGTTTGTGGGTTTGAGCCCCGCGTCGGGCTCTGTGCTCACAGCTCAGAGCCTGGAGCCTGCTTCCGATTCTGTGTCTCCCTCTCTCTCTTCCCCTCCCCTGCTTACTCTGTCTTTCTCTCTCTCTCTCAGAAGTAAATAAAACATTAAAAAAAATATGCTATTTCATTATAAAAGTTATTTTGGTCTTTTACTGAAAGTTAGAAGCCAAGTCTTTGTTGATTCAGTACTTTGTTGATGTAGCTTTCAGTTTAAATAAGACATATTATGTCTTAATAATTGATCTGTTGTTTTTAATTGACATTTCCTCTGTAAGTCATGAAATGATAGTCATTGAAATGTCCCATGTAGAGCTGATTAGTCACTTGGCAGTCACCTGCGTGGAATGGGCTGTGGTGCAAGGATGACAGCTTACACTTGATTATGAAGCCTATGGAAGAGTTTAGAT